ATTATGTGGTACTTGCAGTCTCAAAAACAAAAAAAAAATTTTTAACGATTATTAAATTACAAGAATTATTTCCAGGACCACTGATGATGGGTATTTGGCAATACTCGAAACAGCTGTATTGTCAGCCAAAAATTCAATTAATTAAAATAATATAAAATGAATTGTTGTTGTTGTAAAAACCTCTTACTACTATTCGAAAACTCTCTTATTTAATTTAATAACAAAAAAAGATTTTGAGTTTAAATTATGAATTTATTTTTTCAATCAATTTCTGTTCAGAAAACTAAATCAAAATCAAATCAATATTTCAAATGGATAATTATACGTCATTGAAGTACATTACCACTACTCCTTATCGAAATTAAGAGGGTATTTGTAACTTTGTTGCATACTTTCGGGAATAGTTGTTTTGATACGTAAATCTAGTGAGGTTATAATTTATATAGTATTTTACTTGTAGTCTTCAAATTTACTACTAATTTAAAAATTCAACCAAAGTAATAGTAGTTGATAATGTTAGATAAAAACATATAGTATATATTTACATTAATATATAGTATATGATAATGTTAGATTAGAAATTCATGCATTTCATTTATACCCCTAAGTCAAATCTTTACAATAATAAGTGGATCAAGAAAATCAAAGGATATTAAGAGGTTACTTATGGTAAATGATGTTAGTAATCACCCGAAGTATATTTATAAGCTAATAAATAATTATTTCCCAATGATCATTCTTTCCAAAAGATCATTCTTTTCAAATGATCATTCTTTCGATGTAATACAAATAATCATTATTTCTAAATGATAAGGATATTTTTACCAAATATAATATTTTTATCGAAGTAAGCAGAGCAAACTAGCACACATAATATTTAGAATAAAACTATTCTATTGATGCTCACATAGGTTAAAATAGGTGATAGTAAATCTAGAATAGTTGTAAAGCATATAAAACATATTTATTGCTTAGTTTCTTAAGCCTAGTATTTACACCAATTTCGCACGAAAAATTGACATAAAACTCTATATGAAAATATGTTCCTTAAATTTTGACATTGTAGAAAAGTTAATATGGAGATTGTTGGAGATTGATCCCTTGATTACTCACTAGGCTTTAGGAAATAAAATGGATGTAAAATGGCTTAACACAAAAAAAGTTAACAAGAAGTCGCTACTCAAGATGGCCTGAATTATTTTGTATTTCGTTCAGGTTGGCTTTAAGTCCTAATTTCTTTATTTAATTAAAGAATATGTAACATTTTTGATGCTTGATTTTTGAAGACCATAAATATAGATTTTTTTTAAACTAAAATGAAAGTTTTTGATCAACTCTAATATCCCAAATAGCAGTATTTTTATATTTGATCAAAATAACGTAGGGCACCTCTAAACATAAAAATGGTAAAATTAAAATGATTTATTCTCGCTTAAAAAAGAAGTTTGATTGGTATAGAAGGTAAATGGACGGTGCAAAATCGAATAAATAAACTCCCTCAGGGTTATTCAGAGAATCACATTTAATAATTTATTTTTTCTATTTTTTCTAATTTATTTTTAATCTTGTGGTTATTAATTTGAAGATTTCACTTAATTATAAAATTGTCTACTACTAAAGATATGTTTGGATTTTCACTAGTTTTTTTTATTAGATATTTATAATTTGTTAAAATTTATGTAAATAGAATATAAAAAATTTAAACAAAATTATAATTAAAAATTTTTTTATTTATTATCGCCCACGTTTAGAAATTTTGTTGACTTTTTTCTAAAGTCGGTTTATTTTTTATTAATAGATTGTTTTATACTTCAATATTCAATAATATATTACAATTCATTTGCTCATTAATAAACAAATTTATTTATAAACGAGAATATTTAATGTAAACAAACCAGTTACTGTAGTGAACACTTAAACTATACAATTCTTCTATAATATCTCTCTATACGATTTCTTAACATGAAGCTCTAATTATTTTTTCCAGTGCGTTATTAAGTCTAAGTTATACTTTAGAATAGGAATTTAATGATCATTCGTTCCCTTAGTTGTGATTTTAGTAAAAATATATATGACCTTTGCTTTTAATTTAATTTTTTTTATTTTTGTTTAATTAAAATTATATCTTTTTAGATGTTTTTGCAAAAAAAGAAAAACAAAAACAAACACAATACTTATAACAATAATAAACAGTTTAAATAATATATACTTCCTCCTTCAGTTTCAGTGTGCCAAAACGATTATTTAAAGATTTGTAGATCTGTTAAATTACACTAAAACCGGGCAATTAAATTGTATTTATTCTTATCTAAATGGCTAGGGAAGTTGGGATCCATTCCCGTAATTAAGTCTGTGTGCCAACGCACTATGAATCTGCCTAATATGTTACGCAAGTAATTGAAGTAACCAATTACTGAGTTGTTTTCATTTAAGTCAAGAGCAGGTCATGAACTCTCCGCTCGAGCGATTTCACTATATTTTGTAATCCGACCATTTGATGCATTTTGACTTCAAAGTTGCGTTTTAATCGTGTCTAATTTTTTACCTTGCTTGAAACGCTGTTGAGGAAATTTTTTATTGTTTTATCATTTGATTATAAAATATTTAAAACTCATTTAAGGTCGTTTTTCAGTGGATTTACTGTAGGGGGTAAAATATTTTTTTTTAAATTCGTAAAAGTCAATCAATGCACGATCTTAAAAAATTATATATTCGCACCATATAAAATTCCAGTTATTTTAACTTATTCAAGCGTTTCACCATTTTTTCTACTCATCTTAAAGGTTATGATGCTTCATATCTTCTCTGAAAGCGATTGTGCAATTTTTTTAATTTGTTGCAACGGATTTTATTTTTCAAAATTTTTAATCATTTACATATTTTTACACTAAAATTCAAAATTAGTTACTTTTTGACAGTCCAATAACTTATAAACACTTTTTGGTGATTGATTGTTTATGTTAATTAATTTACAAAGTTTGCTTTAAGCATAAGTTTGTACCTAACTATTTTAGATAAATAGTTGACTGTGTATACACGTAGATAATTCACTAAGATATATGTTCGAGAAGTAACCCTGAAATTTAACAATCGCAAAACAAGTCAGTTGGTTTTGGCTTTGTCGATAATTCATTTCCCTTCATACTGTGGCTATTAAAAATTTACAAACCGTCTTTATAATTAAAGTTCTTATATTCCAATACTAGAAATTTAGTTTTAAATAGAAAAAGAGATCCGGCGAGTAATAAAAAATTGGCTTTGGTTTTATTGAAAAACAGACAAACAATCTTTATGATTAAAATTTTTTTATTCCATAACAAGAAATATATTTTCGAATAGAAAAATGGATCAAGCGATAAAGAAATTGAATTTGATTTTATACTGAGGCTACCATATAAAAACTTATAAACAGTAACTATAAAGAGGTTTTTCGAAAAATACTATGTAAAAGAGAACTACAACAACAACAATTATTTTTTTTTTTTTGCATTATTTTTATTAATTGAATTTTTGGCTGACCATACAGCTACTTCGAGTATTGCCAAATACCCATCATCAGTGGTCATGGAAATATTTCTTGTATTTAAATATTCGTAAATAATTTTTTAGACCGCAAGTACCAGGAATCGAACTCGTGCCCTGCCAAATTTGAAGCTCAAAGTCAGCGTTCATTAGCCAACTGACCCAAAGCCGTACTTCTCTTTTATGTTCGTTCGCACATTTTTCTCGAGTTTTTTTAAATTCAATTCATAAAGCAGCTGTAGAATAATTGAATTAATAATTTATATTATATTTTTAAATGTTAAATTAAGACAGTGGTTATAAGAAAGGTGAATAGTGAATTTTTTTGTGTAAATTTTGTGAATGTGAGTAAATGCAGCGATACTGGAGAACCACTTATAAAAACTCAAAGATTTAAGGACCACCTTGAACCTGTAGCAAAATCTAAAATGCTCTTTAGTAAGTTTAGTTTAGGGAGTCCTGGAGCTGGCCCAAATCCTTAAAACAGTAAGCCGCTAGCATGCTCAATCACTGTAGCACATACGCTGAACAGTAGCAAAGCAGATGTGGGGCACTTTCATCGTCCTTATTCAATTAAATTAGGACGATGAAATATGGACGATGTGACAATAGTGACAGGAATGATAAAGTGAAAGTTGAAATCTTCTGTCATGGGTTCCTAAACTGCTGTGATCTATCAACAAACCTACCATAAGACTGATATTTTTCTGAAGCATTTCAATTTGATTCCTACATTTTTTTAGTAAATTGCGACAAATTCGCTTACGTTTTGGGTATTTTAGATAAACTTTCCTCATAATTGTATGAGTTTAAGTAAGATATAGATTTATTTTGAAAATATTTATTATTAAATACACTTTTCTATTATTAAGAATATTTGTGTTTATTTAATTTCTTTCATCATTTTCATGCAGCTAAAGAGCAGTTTATTTAAAAATAAAATCGTTAAAAATCGGAGGGCAAGCTCTTAACGATAAGGACCTTTCAATAATTGAATGAAGTCTTTACATACGTGTAAAGGAAATCTTGGTATAGTAATTTCATATAAAGACATATTCACACCAAACAGAATAGGCAATACTTGAATTATAACAGTCGGAAGTATATGAAATGAATATTAAAAGGCGTCATTTTGACGGCTTTCACTAAAACCTGCGCCTTTAAAGTTTTTATTATGCAATGGATTATAGAAAAAAAAATTTTAAAAAATACAGTAAATATACATAGTCTTATTAACATGCGCTAAAAATCATGAATACCTGTCTTAGATTTCAAAGGTGTTTGTTGCAGTTTGCTGAAGTGTATGAAAAAAATGCTAGTATTACTATTTCTTTTCTTTTAGGACTGGAAACAGGTTAAACAGAAATGGGTTTACAACTTCCTGCCCTGACTTGATCGAAAGTTAAATATTATTGCCGTTATTCGACAATATCTCAAAAACTTTTGAATAGTTTTTTTTTTTTTTTTCTTATTTTCAGATTAAGCGAACTGATATACTTGAGAAACGGCATAATTTCTAGGTTCTTCCTACAGATTTTTTAAACATAATATTTTCCTTTTTGTAACTTTTCTACAAGATCATACAATGATTTTTTTAAGCAAGGAAGTTATATTAAATTCAGTTTAAAATTCATATCGTTGACTTACAAGTTAAAAATTATTATTAATTGCCTTTGGACAAGTGTTTGGTCGTGCCTATTTAAAACCAGTCCACAATTTCATCATGGGAAATGTGATGTTTTGCTTTTTCATAGTGGGTTTTGAATTTTTATAAATGCTCTCGCTTTTATTTGTTTTGTAATATTTTGTACATGATATGAATTTCATAAAAAATCTAAAATATTATTTTATAATTCGAAGCTTTCATTAATAGTTCAGAATGCCAATAGGCTAGAAATGTGTTTATCATATAGTTTTTGAAACATTTGGTTTGTATATATAATTATAATTATATATTATTAAATATTTATAGTTACATCTAAATTGTGATATTATTAAAAATATAAGTTAACTATATTTGAAAATCAAATTAGCGAAAATCTTTCCTATTGGGAAAACTCATTTTTGATATAAATTGTATTTTAACGTCACTTATGACGGAAGTGACTATTATATTTAATAGAAACTAGCATATTTGGTAGAGAGGTTTTGAAAAGTAGTAAACGTTAATAAAACACGCATCGTGAGTGATGCACACAATCGCTAAAAATAAGACTCTGATCTGGTATCGCAGTGGACCTTAATGGTCTACGTGTGTCCTTTATGGTCTGCCAGCATAACTTAATACCTAATCTTATTTAATCGAATTTTTGGATGACTAAAAATTGTTAATTAATGATAAATAATTTCCTAATACTGCCAATAAATGTAACAGTCTGACTTTATTTTAAGTAAGATAAGCTTTATGTTGGAACAGAATAAATATCTTTTCAATATAAATAATAATAAAAATATTATAATCATAATAATATTGTAATAAAATTAGTTAATGTTTACGGTATAAACTAAGAAATTTTAAATTGATTTTTCTTCAGATTCTCCGCGTTGTTTAGTTCACTTTTTTATCTTCTCACTTTGGCTTTACGATTTGCCTAGCATCACTTTTGAAATCTTTCGGTAAACATTAAAGATTGAACTTATCAAGTTGTGATCTATGAACTGCAGCAAACTAGAAACCTTTAAACAACAAAATAATAAACAAGTGTAATATATTTAAAATGAACGAGCTTAATTAAATAGCTCGAATAGCTTAACGAATTGTACGAGTCTACAGTATAAAAATAAAATTTTTGTATATTTAATTTATAAAATAAAACAAAAATTATTAAATAATTTTTATATAAAAACTAATAAAATTTTTATTGAAACTACGCCCCACAGTGTCTGTGTTTAAATCCCATTAAGGACTGATCTAAAAACATGCTTTAAAAATTAAAATATGATTGGGGGCATCATGTCAGGAATAAAGCTACAACCGCTCCTTAAATTTGCAAAAATGTCTGCTACAAAATCCACTTGTTATTGGAAATTATGTGTATTATTTGAAACACAATACTAACTACTAGCTATTTTTGCTTAAATGTATATAATAAAAAAATATTTTGTTTAAAAAATCTTGAATTAAATTCATGCTTTATAACATTTTTAATAAATAATTATTTATGATCTTTTAAATCTGCAAAAAAATAGTAAAAAGTTATATTATGAAAAAATCAAATTAAAAATAGTTTAAGTACTACAAAATTTAATGGAAGGTACTGTTCAATTTAATTATTATTATGATTCTCCAAATTAAGATAAACAAACCGAAGATAAAAATTGTTACTGGTACGTTTATTTAAAAAAAAATTAGTTATATTGTTTGCTTTTGATAGTGAATAATATATATATAATTATTATATAAATAATAATAATATTAAAAATTCATTAAAAGTTTGAAATACTCAATATTTAATTGAATCTATACTACTATAAATAACACAAGAGTGGTATAATCATTGAGTGATGTTTGCCATTAACATATATGTGCAGTACCATATTGAGATATATAGACTTTACAATCTAGGGTACCCAAGTGAAGACCATATTGTGAAAAATTTATGTAAAAGAATAATAATTAAGGATAATAAAATAATTTCGAAATAGCATAATAATACAAAACAAGACCAGTTAAAATGTCCAAAATAGTAATATATAAATGATTTTCAACTTCAGAAAAAAGATCTTTGTTTCTATCTCATGTTTGTTGTTCAAAAGTATTTAGTATATGTATTTTTGAGCTTTAATATTAGTAGCTGTGTTTTATTTTCAATTCTTAAGAAAGTGACAAACTCTTTTTATACTGCTAGAGGGAATAATGTTGTTCTATTTATAAACAGTTCCACACTTCTTTAAATTAATTTGTGTAGTACATAAAGAATTTTTAACTCTTAGTGGACTGCTACGGCACATTATAGTACCTGAAAATCCGAAAACGAATAGTAATATATTCCGTTCTCGTTACCTTAAAAACGGTGGCAATATATAACTCTTTAAATTCTGTTAAGATATACATTTAGCTCTAAATGATAAATAAATGCTGTAAATCTACAAGTGCTATCATAGTTTATAGTTACTGGTAAGCTAAAATGGATTAATGCTTTACTGGGTACTGATTATGTTAAAAACGATGACAATAAATACACCATTTATAACAGTTCAAGTATACATATAGCTCCAGACGAAAGACTTATTTTAAAATTAGTTTGGTTAAAACTACATTTTTTATCACTAATTGCATTAGAAAGACGCTGTAAATGGGACGATCTTCTGGGTAATTGTTAGGGTAAGAACTAGTTTCATATTTTTGACTAAAAACAAACTTTATCTTCAGTAGAACAGGGCTAAGGCTGCCGGGTTGTGTTTGTTAAATTTTATTACCAACTCAACAAAATGGGGTTACTTTGAAACCGATGAAATTTCTATGTAACATTCATTACTATTGTTTAGAATTAAGATTTATTGTATCATGGCCTTTAATTTATTTGTCATTTTTGTATTGTGTCGTCGCCTTTAAGCACACGCGAAAAGGCGACATGTGTTTTTGAGAAATAATAAAGCAGTCGTGAATAAAAGTTATCAGTAAACTAACTGAATAAAACATTGGTGCCGAAACCCGGGATAGTGATCCATAAAAGGGATAGTGATCCATAAAAGGGATAGTGATCCAGAAAAGGGATAGTGATCCAGAAAAAAAAATATAATTGCAAAATGTTAGACTCAGAAATTCACGAACTCAGCGACGGGGAGCAAGGAGGCGTGCAGAAAGGGTCTAAGAAAATGGCGGAATTGAAGGCGTTGAGAGGCAGCACCAAAGGCAACATCACTCGCATAAAATCAATGATTTTGAAAAAAGGGTCAAGTTTGTCAACAGAAGAACTTAACTGCAGGCTTAGTTTGACAGAAAATTACTTCAAACAGTTTCTGAGTGTGCAAGCAGATATCGATAAACTAAACCAAGGTGCAGATACTTCTTCAAGCGAAGCAATTACAGCAGAAGTTGAAGATGCATTTGTGGCCACGAAAGCAAAAATAATGAGTTTACTAAAAAAAAGAAAGTTATCACTGGTAGATGTCAATGCAACGAATACAACATCGTTATTGCCGGGCCCAAGAAGTCATCGGGAAGTAAAATTACCGAAATTTGAAGGGAAGTATAGCGAATTTCCGAAATTTATAGCCTTGTTTAATAAATTAATCAACCAGGATGAAATGCTTGATGACTGCGAACGATTTTTGATACTTAAAGAGCACTTGGGCTCTAAGCCGCTGGCAGCTATTGACGATTTTGATGTCACAGAGGACAATTACCCCAAAGCACTCGATCGATTGAAGGAATGCTTCGATAAAAAGGCGTTGATGTTCGAGGAACATATTACAGCCCTCTTTGCTGTCCCAAAATTAACAAAACCATCTGCAGTTCATTTAAGAAATGTATTAAATGCAGCGAATGCACATTTGAATGCAATGCTATCATTAGGTGATTACAAAGATATAGCGAATGCCATGTTAATTCATTTGGTGATGGAAAGAGTGGACGAAGATTCGCAGGTCAAATGGGAAGAATCAGTGGATTACAGGAAGCTGTCAACTTGGAATGAATGTTCAGCAGTTTTGACGAGGCGATGTGAGAACCTTGAGGCAAGGGAACAAAAAGTTAATCAAGTGAATTCAAAGGCTGTAAACTATCAAAAAGAGTATAGAAATAACCGCAACTACTCAACCTCTCTTGCAGTTACAAAACCTTTATGTGAAGTCTGCAATGGCAGTGGCCACGAGATTGCAGATTGTAGCAAGTTTAGAAAGCTTTCTTTAAAAGAACGCTTTATCGTAGCACGGAGAATAAAGGTATGTTTTACATGTTTGAAAAAGGGACACCTTCAAAAAGAATGCTCTGCTGTTAAATGCTCGAAATGTAATTTATCTCATCATCAACTTTTACATAAAGATTACATCTTGGAGCCAAATGAACAAAGATGCAAAAATGGGCCATCTACGTCAACACAGGAGACAGCTCAGTCATCAGTTATGAACGTAATGACTGAAAACGAGGTTTTTTTGGCAACAGCAGTAGTAATGGTAGCGGACAAGTTTGGCAAATATCACCAAATGCGAGCCATATTAGATTCTGGCTCTCAAGTAAATTTGATGTGTGAGAAAGTTGCTCAAAAACTGTTATTAAAAAAAACGTCTTGTAAATTAGATGCTAGCTGTGTTGGAGACGTTGTAACTAGCTTTAAAACAAAAACTGTGGCTACCATCAAATCAAAAATAAATGAATTCGAAGTCAGTCTGCAATTTTATGTCTTACCGAAAATAACAAGCTCCAAACCTAATCGTTATGTCGATGTTGCGGACTGGAATTTACCAAAAAATATTCAAATGGCTGATCCAATGTTCAATAAGCCAGCGCGTATAGATATTTTAATTGGTGCGGAAATTTTCTTCGATTTGTTGTCGATTGGACGAATTTATCTTAATGAAAGGTTGCCAACCCTACAGAAATCCATACTAGGGTGGATAGTTGCAGGCAAAGCAGAAGAATGTTTAGCGCCTAGTCATAAAATAAATAATATGCTGGTCAATCACAACCATAATGAGAATGAAAACTTGAGTCAATTGGTTGAAAAATTCTGGAAAATAGAACAGATTTCAACTAAATCAAATTTTTTAACCGAAGAAGAAGAGGAATGCGAGAAAATTTTCCGGGAATCAATTCGTAGAGATACATCTGGCCGATTTATTACGAAAATTCCATTTAAAACAACAGTAAGTGATTTGGGTGGTTCCTATAATGCTGCCAAACGACGGTTGCTGTCACTAGAGCGTAGGTTGAGTAGAGATCGCTCTACACGAGACGCTTACAACGCATTTATGGATGAGTACCTCTCTTTAGGTCACATGACGATCGTTGAAGAAGCTGATATGGATAAGATAAAATATTTTGCACCGCATCAGTATGTGCTACGACCAGATTCCACGAGTACGAAACTTCGAGTTGTGTTCGATTGTAGCTGCAAAACTGACAGTGGCTTGTCATTAAATGAGGTAATGATGAAAGGACCACTGGTTCAAGATGACCTGTTATCTATAATACTGCGATTTAGATGTTACAAATATGCAATTACGGCAGATGTAACAAAAATGTATCGCCAAGCATGGGTGACTGATGATGATGCGAATTATCAAACGATTTTGTGGAGGTCTTCCTCAGATGAAAACATAAAGGCCTATCGCTTGCGAACCATTACTTATGGTACAACATCTGCCCCCTATTTAGCTACAAGATGCTTAAAACAGTTAAGTGAAGATTATATCGATAAATATCCGATTGGATCGAGAAAGGTGTTATCTGATTTTTATATGGATGATTTGATCAGTGGATCAAATGATGAAGATGAAATTTTTGAAATATATAATCAAGTATCAGCAATAATGAACTCAGCAAAATTTAAGTTAAGGAAGTGGTTTTCAAATAGTGAAAAATTTCTTAATTTCGTGCCTGAAGCTGATAAAGAAAAGACTCTTCGGATGAATGATGAGGAAATAATAAAAACTCTTGGTATCATCTGGGCTCCAGTGGGAGATACGTTTCGATACGTTTGGCCAGATTTTGATAGCTCGAAAGCGGTGACAAAAAGAATAGTGTTGTCGGAACTATCTAAGTTGTTTGATCCCCTTGGGCTTATTAACCCATTAATCGTAAAGGCGAAGATTTTCATGCAAGATTTGTGGATATTGAAGGCTAATTGGGATGAATCCCTACCAATGAATTTACATAGTCAATGGATAGAATTCCGCGAAAATCTAAAAGACGTCAAGAAAATAAGTGTGCCTCGATTTGTTTTGGCAGAAAAACGAGTTGCTAGAGTTGAAATGCATGGATTTGCTGATGCATCAAAAAGAGCTTTCGGGTGTTGTATTTATATTCGCTCAATATGTGTGGACAACGACGTTACAATGCAGTTGTGGAGTGCTAAATCCAGAGTAGCGCCATTAAAAACTTTATCTTTACCAAAATTGGAACTTTTGGCTGCGGAATTGCTGTCGAAACTAGTGACAAAAACCAAATCCAATTTTCCAATTTCTATTGACGCGACCTATTTATGGGTGGATTCCGAAATTGTGCTAGATTGGCTGAGCGAGCACCCATCAAATTGGAATACATTTGTTGCCAACCGGGTATCATTGATTCAAGAGCAGACAAAAACGTGTATTTGGCGGCATGTTCCTTCAAAGTCTAACCCAGCGGATATAATATCAAGAGGTGCGTATGTAGATGAACTATCTAATTCTATTTGGTTTGCAGGTCCTTCTTTCTTGAAGAGAGATTGTTGTGAGTGGCCACCAAATAAGTCTAGAAAGAATACTAATGCTGACCAAGAAAGGAGTCGTAATAGTACGATAATGACTGTTAATAATTTGAAAAAAAAAATACCTTATGACGCATGCTCTGAGGATAACTCGAAATCTTCTTTTGTGACGTGGGTTGAAACCTTCAGCGATTTTGAAAAATTACAAAGAATTTTTGCCAATCTTCTTGGCTTCCGAAGAAGCGTTAAGTCTATGACGGAAAGATTAGATGAAGCACTAGTGCGTATATTCTACTGTGTGCAACAACATTATTTCAAAGAAGAAATTGAGCTGCTATTGAAGAATAGAGAATTGCCAGCAAACAGTAA